ATATACAGCGGGTGTAGATCTTGTCATTTATATTTTGAATGTTCCTGATGAAGCCCGTTGAGGGTGAAACGTTGAAATATTTTTGAAATACCACCAGGTCTCAACCGTTTTACTATCTGCTGTACACAAAAATGATGATGATGATGATGATGATGATGTCATTTTGAACAAATCAAAACACAACAGCTAAGTTACATGATTGTTTCCCCTCCAGATCTCTACTCGGGCATCTTCCTGGGTGTCTTGTTTGGCCAGTCATGACGTCACTGGGCGTCTGGCATGTGGCTTTGGTGCTTGGTGGAGTTTTCAATTTCGTCAGTACCGCGGTAAGTAAAATAAAACAAAAAATGTAAGTTCATAAATAGATGAACAAATAAATAAATAAGTAAATTAAAGGAATAGCTCATTTTACTCTACCTCAATAATCATGACGCCTCTTCGATGTGTAAATAATCCTATTAATAATTTCTTTATACTATAACATGTACAGCCAAGACACGTTTCCCTCTGGGACAAAAGAGTATTATCTTATCTTTTATCTTTTCATATACTCCACAAAGGAGAACAAAATCAAACTGCAAAATGCCTACAACTTTTTTATGCGAAGTTGGTGATCAGAACAAAGGTTGGGCTCCTTAAGTAGCCTGCATTACCTGTGCCACAAACCATTGCCAGCATTTGTGACTAAGTAAATATATTATAACAATTCCCTGTGCAATGCCAGTAGTTTGGTGTGAACCAAGTAATCGTTCAGATAACTGCTTCTTCTGTAGTACAATCGGAAAGAAATAGACTTAATAGAAATCAAAAGCGTAATGTTGATAATCATGGTATTCCATCTGGCTGAAGTGCTACACATCAAAAGTTTTAGTTTAATTTTAGTAAGGTTTTACGGCGCTCGCAACTGCATAAAGTAATAATACGAGCGCCAAGGGGTGGGTGTCAACAGAGAAGTCCAAACAAGGAATCAGGCTTACTCTGCTCACCTCTCTAGCCTCACCAGCACAAGGTCTGCTTCGACTATCAAGGCAACCACGAAAATAGCAGTTCACATGAGAGTTACAAACATAAAAAAGAAATAGAGGAATATGACGAGTGTAAGGATGAGGAAAGAAAAAGCAGCAGTTCCCCTTATGTTGTTCCGTAAAAGTATGAACATGACATTAGTAAATCAGCCCATTTACAGTGCTACTGTGCATAAGCACAAGTTTATATCCACCCTTTGGGAATAGCCTAAAAACACTTCAGTCAGTAGCACTGACCTTGG